ATGCCATCTTGGGAATCCAGAGCGCTCATCCGCATTGGAAGGCCTTTCTAACAGAAGCTTGGGACGTAGCGAGACAATGGAAGCACGCGGAGCCGCCAAAGCTCCGCCCGCCCTTACCTCGCGCTCTGCTGCGCGCTATGGTCGGTCTCTGTTTCGCCTGGGACTGGCCTGTGATGGCGGCCTTGCTGCTTATGGGCTTTACGATGTTCCTCAGGCCTGGCGAGCTGCTGGCGTCACGCCGCTGTGACTTGTCGCTTCCTTGCGACCGCCTCGAAGTTGAAGGGGATGCTTTTCTCTCGATTCTTGTTCCAAAGACCAGGAGAACGTACCCGACGCAGCATGCTCGCTGCTCCGATCGGGGCACGGTGAAGATTCTGAATCAAGTGTTTGGTCGGTTGGCTTCCACCGATCCTCTCGCCCCTTTCGGTGCGAGCGGCTTCCGTACTCGGTGGAATCATTTGCTTTCGGCCCTGGGCGTCCCTCTTGCCAAAGCGGGTCAGGGGCTCAACCTGACGCCCGCATGTCTGCGGGGCTCTGGCGCAACAGACTTCTATATCGCTACGGAAGACGTCCCTCGAGTCTTCTGGCGGGGGCGTTGGCGTCAGGCTTCCAGTGCTGAGCGCTACCTGCAAGCCGCCGCCGCTTCCACAGTTCTTGCTGCGCTGCCCGAGCCCGCACGGGCGCGGAACCTGTTCTTCGCCACCGCCAGCGACCGCCTTGTCGCTTCATTTCTCCAAGTCGGCCCCGCCGCTTGGCCTGCCCTACTTGCGGCCGCCCGCCGAAACCTTGTCACTTTGCAAGGTCCTTGAGCACGGGTATGGCTGCCTCGCCGTCGTCGGCGAGCAGGCGGTCTCCCCCGCCTGACGCGCGGCGCCCCGGCACGAGCGCGCGGGACGGGCCTGCCCATTTTGGGCCGCCCCGCGCGCGCGAGCCGCGGCCGCGCTCGGAGACAGCTCGCTAGCGCGCGAGCGGGAGAATGCCTCTTCTATTCTCTGTGAGCAAGCTCCTGCTGTCTCCGCAGCTTCTCTGCCCCCCTCCCCCTCCCTCCTCTCCCAATCTAAGGCTGATGGGCGCTGCCTCGCCGTCGTCGGCGAGCAGGCGGTCTCCCCCGCCTGACGCGCGGCGCCCCGGCACGAGCGCGCGGGACGGGCCTGCCCAGTTTGGGCCGCCCCGCGCGCGCGAGCCGCGGCCGCGCTCGGAGACAGCTCGCTCGCGCGCGAGCGGGAGAATTTCTGTCCCAACATCTCCTTGCGAGTCGGAGACAGATTGGAGGATGCCTCGAGCGATGCGCTCATTTGCATCTCCCAGGTGGGCCAGATTTGAGGGTGCCGAAGTTGATGATCGGTGGCCAGAGGGTGGGTTGTTATGGGGTGGGTTGTGTCTTTCTTTCTTTTTTTTTATTTTTTGTTTTTTTTTTTTTGGGCACAGATTCTCCTCAGGATGCCACAGGAGGCTCCAACAGGCTCCAGGAGGCCCCAGGAGACCACATGAGGTCCCAGGAGGCATCAGGAGGCCACAGAAAGACTCAAGAGGCCACAGGATGTCCCAAGAGGCCCTAGGAGGCCCCAAGAAGCTCCGGAAGGCCTCAGGAAGCCACAGGAGGCCCCAGGAGGCCAGAGGAAACCCCAGGAGGCCTCGGAAGGCAACAGGAGGCCCCGAGAGGCCCCAGGAGCAGGAGGTCTCAGAAGGCAACAGGAGTGGCTCCAATCCCATGTGTTTTATGTATGTTCCTATAGATTCGGCCTCACCTGGAGCACGAATCCTTGATCTTATACGTATGTTCATATAGATGGTCCTTCTCCTGTGTACTTATGTTCCTATAGGGCCTCTCCTGGGGCACGAGTCCTTGGTGTTTCACGTGTGTTCCTATAGATTGCCCCCTTCTCCTGTAGCTCCAATCCGAAATGTTTTATGTACGTCTGTTGCTATATATTAGGCTTATCCTGGGGCACAAATCCTCCCTAGGAGGTCCCAGGAGGCCCCAGGAGGCCCCAAAAGGCTCCTGGAGGCCCCAGGAAGCCCCAGTAGGTTTCAGGAGGCTCCAGGAGGCCCCAGGAGGACCCAGGCTCATGCGCAGAGACGCGCTCGTACTACTGAGGCTCATTCATACTCCAATTCACTCTCAGTTAGATTCATGACCAGATCGTCACAACTGAAGCCCGTTGACATTCGAAAGCTCTTGCGCCTAGACATTCACGGCGGACAGGTCCATGCGAATAGATGCACATATGGGGAGCTGCACGCAGTGAGTAATTGTGTGTATTTATTTTTGTGTCCCAGGGCCCCTTCGAAGTGGCATGCGCGACGAGGGTGCCACGCGTCGGGCGGCGCGGCGCTGCATCGGCACAGGAGTGCAGAGTGCGCTTGTGAAGATATTCAGGACGGATACGGTGTGTCCTCACCTGCCCCGCGAGCCTCTCGGGCCGCGCACACCCGGCGTCACCGAGCGATCCCCGCCTCATCCGTCTTGGCGCGCTCTGTGCTTCGCCAGCCTGGAGACGTCGGACCGCCCCGTGCCGCGATGGAAGCGGAGGGAGGGCGCGAGGAGGATCAGAGGGTCCACCGCCAGAATGACTGTGGCACAGCCCCTTGTGTTCGCGTCACGAGGGCTCTGTGTCGGAGCGGCGGTCCTGGCCAACGCGGGGCCACTCAGCCCCGTTGGGCCACGGGGCCAAGACGGGATCGCACCAGCCCTGTTGGGCTTCCCCCCTGAGGGGCTCCCGACAGGGGTCACACGACATGCCTGCCAACACGGGTGTGTGTGTGTGTGTGTGTGTGTGTGTGTGTGTGTGTGTGTGTGTGTGTGTGTGTGTGTGTGTGTGTGTGTGTGTGTCTGACCGCCGCAAGTTGGCAGCGCTTCTGAGTGGACGCGGCCGTGGCCATATCCCATATCCACCGCTGCAGAGTCGTGCCCTGGGACCTTGAGGAGTGGCGGATGTGGACCCCTGCCCGCCCGCACGGGCAGGCTGAGGTCGGGCCTGTCCCCCCACAGGCGGATTTGGGGCGAAAAAGAAACAGACTCAACAAACGTACCCCAGAATAGTAAACAGATAACGGAAAAGCCTTCCCCAGACTATTCGTTCGACCATCTTTGAATATTCCTCCTGTGGAGGGACGGGCCCGACTCGAGGGCGGGCAACTGTCCACACCTTCGCCGCTCCCCGAGCCCCCCCGCGGCACGGCCCCGCGGCAGGGGGACCTACAGACGTGCTCCGGAGGCGCGGAGGGGCACCCAGTGTGAAGGCGGGCCTGCCCCCCTGCAGGAGGCAGATCCCCAAAGTAGTAAGCACCAAAAAAATAGCCTGGCGAAGGACCCAACCATATGCAGCTGTGAGTACCGCAATAGTGAACATCTTCTTCGGTGCGGCGCCGCCATGCCAACGCAGCCACTGGGAGCTTCGGTGGAGCTCCCTATGGAGCCACGAAGCGTGTAAGGGGTGTGCCGAAATGGGTGCGGCGCCGCCATGCGAACGCAGCCACTGGGGCCTTCGGTGGAACTCCCTATGGGGCCACGAAGCGCGTGAGGGGTGTGCCGAAATGGGTGCGGCGCCGCCATGCCAACGCAGCCACTGGGGCCTTCGGTGGAGCTCCCTATGGGGCCACGAAACGTGTGAGGGGTGTGCCGAAATGGGTGCGGCGCCGCCATGCCAACGCAGCCAGTGGAGCCTTCGGTGGAGCTCCCTGTGGGGTCACGAAACGTGTGAGGGGTGTACCGAAATGGGTGCGGCGCCGCCATGCGAACGCAGCCACAGGGGCCTTCGGTGGAGCTTCTTATGGGGCCACGAAGCGTGTGAGGGGTGTGCCGAAATGGGTGCGGCGCCGCCATGCGAACGCAGCCACTGGGGCCTTCGGTGGGAACGCCTATGGGGCCACGAATACGTGTGAGGGGCCCTGCTGGGCCGAAACGGAGTGCGGCCCGCCCGCATGCGAACGCCAGCCAGTGAGCCTTCCGGCGGAGTTCTTATGGGCCACGAAGCGGCCGTGAGGGGTGTGCCGAAATGGGTGTGCGGGACGCATGCGGACGGCAACCATGGGGCCTTCGGTGGAGCTCCCTGTGGGGCCACGAAACGTGTGAGGGGTGTGCCGAAATGAGTGTGCGGGACGCATGCGGACGGCAGCCATGGGGCCTTCGGTGGAGCTCCCTATGGGGCCACGAAACGTGTGAGGGGTGGCCGAAATGGGTGTGCGGGACGCATGCGGACGGCAGCACTGGGGCCTTCGGTGGAGTTCCCTGTGGGGCCACGAAACGTGTGAGGGGTGTGCCGAAATGGGTGTGCGGGACGCATGCGGACGGCAGCACTGGGGCCTTCGGTAGAGCTCCCTATGGGGCCACGAAACGTGAGAGGGGTGTGCCGAAATGGGTGCGGCGCCGCCAGCGGAACGCAAGCCCATGGGGTTCGGTGGAGCTCCCTATGGGGCCACGAAGCGTGTGAGGGGTGTGCCGAAATGGGTGCGGCGCCGCCATGCGAACGCAGCTACTGGGGCCTTCGGTGGAGCTCCCTATGGGGCCACGAAACGTGTGAGGGGTGTGCCGAAATGGGTGCGGTGACGAGGGAGGGGGCATGGGAGGAGGGAGGAGGGGGGGGGGAGGAGGCGGAGGGAGGAAGGAAGGAAGGACGGAAGGAGTGAACGCGGGGCGCTGTCTCTCCAAAACGAGGACCCAACACCACAGGATGGTTGGGAAAAATCCCCAAAGTAGTAAGCACCAAAAAAAAGGAAGCTTTGGGGACGACTGCTCGACTGCTTTCCGACTCTTTCTGAGCACCTCTGGAGTGTACCTTAGATTTTTCGCCCAAGCCCCCCTGCAGGAAGTCTGGGGACGACTGCTCGACTGCTTTCCGACTACTTCTGAGCAGCTCTGGAGTGTGCCTTTTAGATTTTTCGCCCAAGCCCCCCCCTGTAGGGGGACCTGCCCGACCTCGACCTGGTGGGAGGTGCTGCGCTCCAGCCCGCTCCTTGGGCAGAGGCAGCGGCCGAAGCAGAGAGTCGGCGGCCGCCACCAGGTGGCCCAGATGACTGGCAGCTGCCGCGTGAGCGACGCCATCCGGAGCCGCTTCTCGGCGTGGAAGGTTCGGGCTTAGATCGGCGGGGGAGCCATGCAGCCTGGACAGGGCCCCTGCCCAGACAAGTCGACGAAGGAGATCTGCACCGCTTCACTCGACGCCGGCCATCGGCATTCGAGTGCACCGGTGCAGTCCCCAATCGGATTCGCGAGCCGACGTTTCTCTTGCGGGAAGCATTCGAGTGTTTTTGGACGTCGATCAGCTATCCTGCCCAGGTCCACACAGAATGCGGTGCCGTGCGCATGCGGAGCGCCCCTGGGAGCTTTCACGAAAGGGCGTTTTGCCAAAAGACGTTCTGTCGATTCTCGATTGGAGAGGCGTTGTCATAGAATACTAACGAAATCCTTGCGCAAAGATGACGTGAGCAGATCGCGATCTCGCACTATGAATGCTCGTGTGGAAGGTGGTACATGGATACATCTGCCAAGGCGAATGAGGGACACGAGCGGGGAACCGTCAGTGGGAGGCGTTCGGCGAGATGCTCCTGCAGCTCATGCAGATAGTAATTGACACTGTTAGCGCGTAGCAGCCTCCCAGCGCTAGAGTTCTCGCATGGTGTTCTAGACTTGCTTTTGAGGTGTTTGTAGCTGTTTGTGTATTTGAAAACCTTACGGCCGGTGCCGCCTGTCCTGAAGACGACGACGACGACGACGATGTCGACGACGACGATGGCAACATCAACGGCGACGACGACGACGACGCGCTGACGGCTCTGCCACCTTCTCGGGTCAGGGGGCAGGGGGAGGGAGGGGAGGCGGAGTAGGAGGAGGAGGAGGAGGAGGAGGAGGAGGAGAAGGAGGAGACAGAGGAGAAGGAGGAGGAGGAGGAAGCAGACAGGGATGTGGAGGAGGAAGGCGAGGATGAGGAGGAGGAGGTGGAGGAGGAAGGGGCGGATGAGGAGGAGGAGGAGGAGGAGGAGGAGCAGGAAGAAGAGGAGCAGGAGGAGAGGATGATGATGATGATGATGATGATGATGATGATGATGATGATGATGCTGATGCTGATGCTGCTGATGATGATGATGACGATGGTGATGATGATGATGATGATGATGATGATGCTGATGCTGATGCTGATGCTGATGCTGATGCTGATGATGCTGATGATGCTGATGATGCTGATGATGATGCTGATGTTGATGCTGATGTTGATGCTGATGATGATGATGATGATGATGATGATGAGATGATGATGATGATGAGATATGATGATGATGGATGATGACGAGGAGGAGATGATGATGATGATGAGATGATGATGAGTGATGGATGACTGATGATGATGAGACGATGATGATGCGATGATGATGATGATGATGAGATGATGAGATGATGATGATGATGATGATGGATGATGATGATGGTGACGAGATGAGAGATGTGAATGATGATGATGATTGATGATGATGATGAGGAGGAGGAGGAGGAGGAGGAGGAGCGAGGAGGAGGAGGAGAGGAGAGGAGGAGGAGGAGGAGGAGGAGCAGGAGCAGGTAGCAGGAGCAGGAGCAGGAGGAGGACGAAGAGGAGGAGGAGTGGGGAAGGAGGACCAGGAGCAGGAGCAGGAGCAGGAGGAGGAGGAAGAGGAGGAGGTGGAGGAGGCAGGAGGAGGAGGGCGCGGAGGAGGAGGAGGAAGAGGAGGAGGAGGAGGAGGAGGAGGAGGCGGACAGGGAGCGCAGAGGAGGAGGAGGAGGAGGAGGAGGAGGAGGAGGAGGAGGAGGAGCGAGGAGGAGGAGCGAGGAGGAGGAGGAGGAGGAGGCTGAGGAGGAGGAGGAGGAGGAGGAGGCTGGGGAGGAGGGGGAGATGATGATGATGCTGATGCTGCTGATGATGATGATGATGATGATTATGATGATGCTGATGCTGATGATGATGATGACGATGTGGATGAGGATGAGGATGATGATGAGAATGATAATGAGGATGATGGTGGTGGTTGTGATGATGATGCTGATGATGACGACGATTATGATGATGCTGGTGATGCTGCTGAGGATGTTGATGTTGATGATGACGATACTCATGTCGAGGAGGCTGATGATGATGATGACGACGATGCTGATTGCGATGATGATGATGATGTTGATAGTGATGATGCTGATGGTGATGATGATCATGATGATGCTGATGCTGGTGATAATGATAGTTATGATGATAATGATGACGATGATGAGGAGGATGGAGATAATGACGATGATTATCATCATGATGCTGATGATGATGCTGCTGATGATGATAATGATGATGATGATGATGGTGATGATGATGATGATGATGATGATGATGATGATGATGATGATGATGCTGATGAGGAGGAGGCGGAAGGTTGAGGAGGAGGAGGAGGAGGAGGAGAAGGACGACGAGGGGAAAGGTGAGGAGGAGGAGGAGGCGGAAGAGGAGGAGGAGGAGGAGGAGGAGGAGGAGGAAGAACCAGACAGGCAGGTAGAGGAGGAGGGCGAGGCGGCGGAGTAGGAGGAGGATGAGGCGGAGGAGGAGGAGGAGGAGGAGGAGCAGGAAGAGAAGGAGGAGGAGGAGAAGCAGGAAGAAAGAGACGATGAGGAGGATGGGGAGGATGGCCAGTGTAAACCCCAGGGTCATCAGCGGCGTTAGAGTAAACCCTCCCTCCAAGCTCCCCCTTTATAGGCCCCTACAATGGTTCATTTCCATTGAGGGAACTGCCTCGTTGGAAGGCACCCGTTTGAAGACCCTGAAGCATGCCAAAACATTGTTCTCGGGATTCCAACGCCATGGATACACCTGACTGTTGCGTCTTGACGATCCTGAGTCGTGCCAGAACGCCATTCCTAGGATTTCAACTCAGAGAATCAACGTAACTGCTGCGCCCGTATACGTAATATCTAATCCTTCCAAAACACGTTTTCTGGCGTTGATGATGGGCATCCGTGAAACTCTTGAACATGTCGTAAACGAATGTGCGCGACACCAAGGCGAGAGCCACATTTTGAACAGGAACCGCCCTCAATCCGTGAAACCCTTGCAACTGTTTAAAATGAATGTGCGTGGCGCTAAGGCGAGAGCCACATTTTGAAAACGGCCCGCCCTCAATCCGTGAAACTCTGGCAAATGTTTAGAAACGATTGTGCGCCGCGCTAAGGCGAGAGCCAAATTTTGAAAAGGAACCGCCCTCAATCCGTGAAACTCTTGCAACTGTTTAGAAGGAATGTGCGTGGCGCTAAGGCGAGAGCCACATTTTGAAAACGACCCGCCCTCAATCAGTGAAACTCTTGCAAATGTGTAAAAACGATTGCGCGCCGCGCTAAGGCGAGAGCCACATTTTGAAACCAACCCGCCCTCCATCTGTGGAACTTTTGTCAACTTCCAAGCTTCAGAGTCATAAGTGGTGAGGAAGTCCAAGGCGAAACGCCCGGCCCGCCCACAAAAACCTCGGGTGCGACAGGGATAAATTATGTATGAGGTAGAGGAATCGAGGATGAGAAGGATGGGAAGGAGGAGGAGGAGGAGGAGGTGGAGAGGAAGAGGAGCAAGAGCAGCAGCAAAAGCAGGACCCGGAGGAGGAGGAGGAGGAGGAGGAGGAGGAGGAGGAGGAGGAAGAGGAGGAGGAGGAGGAGGAGGAGGCGGAGTGAGGAGGAGGTGGGGAAGGAGTAGGGACTATGAGCAGAGGAGGGGGAGGAGGAGGAGGAGGGAGGAGGAGGCGGAGGAGGAGGAGGGAGGAGGCGAGGAGGAGGAGGAGGAGGGAGGAGGAGGAGAGCGGAAGGAGGAGAGGAGGCGAGGAGGAGGAGGAGAAGTGTAGGAGAGGAGCGGAGGAGGAGGAGAGGAGGAGGAGGAGAGGAGGAGGAGGAGAGGGGAAGAAAGAGAAGAAGACGGAGCACGAGAGCAGGATAAATCGATGAGGAGGAGCCGGAGGAGGAGGAGGAGGAGGAGGAGGAGAAAGAAGGAGGCGGTTGGGGCGGTTGATGCAGGAGGAGGAGGAGGAGGGGGAGAGGAGTAGGAAGAGGAGGCATGAGAGAGGAGGAGAAGGAGGAGGAGGAGGAGCAGGAGAAGGAGGAGGATGTGCAGGAGGAGGAGGAGCATGAGGAGCGAGCAGTATGAAGGAGGCGGAGGAGGCGGAGGAGGTGAGGAGGAGCAGGAGGAGGAGCAGGATGAGGAATGAGATGAGGAGCAGTTGGAGGAGGAGGAGGAGGAGGAGAGGATGGAGGAGGGGGAGAGGGAGAAGGAGGAGGAGGAGGAGGAGATAGGAGGAGGAGGATGAGGAGGAGGAAGGAGGAGAAGGAGGAGGAGGAGGAGGAGGTGGAGCAGGAGGAGGCGGAGGAGGAAGGAGGGGGGGGATCAGGCACAGGAGGATGAAGAGGATGAGGAGGAGGTGGAGGATGAGGAGGAGGAGGTGGCGGAGGAGGAGGAGGAAGACGAAGCGAAAGAGGAGGAGGAGGAGGAGGAGGAGGAGGAGGAGGGGGAGGAGGAAGGATGATGATAATGGTGATGATGATGATGATGATGATGATGATGATGATGATGATGATGATGATGATGATGATGATGATGGTGCTGATGCTGATGCTGATGCTGATGCTGATGCTGCTGCTGATGATGATGATTATGATGATGATGATGACATTGATGACATTGATGATGCTGATGATGATGATGATGATGCTGATGATGACGATGATGCGGCTGCTGCTGATGAGGATGTTGGAGATGATGATGATTATGCTGATGATGATCCTGCTGCTGATGATGATGCTGGTGATGATGACGACGCTGTTCATGTTGATGACGATGTTGATGTTGATGATGTTGGTGTTGATGATGGGGATGATGATCATGACAATGATCATGATGATGGCCATGATGATGATGATGATGATGCTGATGCTGATGAGGAGGAGAAAGATGAGGATGACCACGATGATGCTGATGATACTGATGGTGATGAGAATGCGGATGCGGAGGAGGAGGAGAAGGAGGACGCGGACGATTCGGATGATGATGTTGGCGATGATGATCATGATCATGCTGGTGATGCTGAT